GGATGCGTAGGCGGGCTTTTCCGTTGTGGGACTGAAAGCACTTTTTAGAAGTTTCTTTTCATCCAAGTAGTTCATGCACGTTGTCTAAGCAGCGACGCAGGCACCCGCCACGGGGAGCCTGCCTGAAACCGGGTTCTGAAGCCAGGCGCATGCTCTGCCTGTGCCTGTGGCAGCCGCTTCGCAGAGAACACACTGGGCCATGCCCGCTCGGGTGTGAAGGGGGACATAGCGGCCTTTGCAGGACTGGGGGTGGGGGTGACCATCTCGTTTCCCCCAACGTTAGTAGTTGGCCGTTGCCTCCTTTTCCCACGCCCTGCATTCCTCGGAATCTCCCGCCTTCCTGGGCGCCCCGCCCCTGCTGGCCGGCAGGAAGGACAGGGGAGAGGCCCTACACCCCCAACCCCCACCTCCCACCCTTCTGGCTTGGCTGCTGCAGCTGAGGGGGTCGCCCTAGGCCCCTCCTTCCTTGTCCTGTGTCCTCACTCCGCCCAGGGATGCCACTGCTGGGGAGCAGATGGGTCTGGCCCCTGCCCGCGGGGCCCCCCCGAGTTGGAGATGGCACCCCGAGTCCCTGCTGCCTTGTTGTCGTCTGACCTTGTCCTGTGGCTTATTCTGTATAATTTCAGCCAAACTGAAATCCATGCAGGAGGTTTTGCACTTTTCTGGACCAGACCTGCAGCGGCTGACCGGCCTCTCGGGCCCCGACGTGCAGCACCTGCTGAGGACGGTCTGCTCGCACCTGCGGGGGGGCAGCCTCTGCACAGGTGGGCAGCGCAGGTGGGCAGCACAGGTGTGCTCTGCCAAGGCCCTGGGCCTCCTCCCCGTCTGCTGCTCAGCTCCAGGCTGGGCCACGGGCAGGGACTCAGTGAGAAGTGACCGCAGGGCGTGGGCAGCGCTGGGATCAGATGCCTGGGGGCCATGGGCCCCTTGCCCTGTGGGTCGCTCCACGGGTCAGTGCTTGGGCCAGAGGGGAAGGGGCGCGGCCGAGGGGGCCGGAGCAGCACTGCAGGCTGCTGGGAGGGGCCTCCTGGCTGCGGCAC